TATGCAACTAGCTGAGAGTCTTTTTTCAGGCAGACATGATCGGCTTCCAGGGAGATGCACAATTCTAGGCCGGCGATTGCTGCCTCATATTCGGCTTCGTTGTTCGAGGCCTTAAAATTAAAATTTTAGTGCATACTCAAAGGATTTGCCTTCGGGAGAAGTTATCACTACTCCTGCCCCCGAACCGTTTTCGGTGGAAGATCCATCCGTAAACACGGTCCAGACTTTCTTTTCATTGTCTAGCGCTTCTTGGTATGAGCATTCGGCCAAGAAATCCGCTAGAGCTTGAGCCTTAATGGCAGCCCTCGGACGGTAGCTGATGCTGAATTCGGTGAGCTCAAAAGCCCACTTGGCTAGCCTACCAGATTTTTCAACCTTGCCGAGAACTTTTTCCAACGGCTGATCAGTTAAGACCACTATCTGATGGCAATCAAAATAGGGCCTCAGCTTCCGAGCAGCTACTACTACCGCGAAAGCGACTTTCTCGAGTAGAGGGTAGCGAGTCTCGGCATCCGTCAGTGTATGACTGACAAAGTAGATCGGTTGCTGACTTTTACTTTCTTCCTTCAGCAGTACTGCACTGATGGTGGCTGGGCTAACGGCCACATACAGGTACAAAGTTTCTCCTTCTGCTGGGCTAGCCAGCGTTGGGAGTTGAGCCAGATGCTCCCGAAGCTGTTTAAAGGCGTCTTTTTGCTCTTCCTCCCAAACGAGCTCTTTTGTTTTCGGGAGTTTCAGGTCTTTGAAGAAAGGTAACCCCTTATCCGAAGCTCTGGAAATGAACCTCGAGAGGGCGGCCATTCTTCCGGTGAGCCGCTGAACATCCCGCTTTGTTTTCGGCTCAGGAAGGTCGAGCGCTGCTTTGACTTTGGAGGGATTGGCATCAATCCCCCTTTTGCTGACTATGAACCCAAGGAATTTCCCTGACTTCACGCCGAAGACACACTTCTTCGGATTCAGCTTCATTTGATGCTTTCTTAAGGTGGCGAAAGTTTCAGCCAGGTCCTTAACATGGTCCTCAGGTTTTTTGCTTTTGACGATCGAATCGTCGACATAGACTTCCATGTTTCGGCCCTTTTGATCGGAAAAAACTTGATCCACCAGATAGGTTGCCCCCGCATTTTTCAATCCGAAGGGCATCATTTTGTAATTGTACACCCCAGCGTTCGTGACGAATGCTGTCTTTGCTCGATCGTCGGGGTGCATGAAGATCTGATGATACCCCGAGAATGCGTCCATGAAACTAAGCAAGGCATGGCCACTTGTCGAATCGACTAGCTGATCGATCCTCGGCAAGGGATAGAAATCCTTCGGACAAGCCTTATTTAGGTCCGTGAAGTCAACGCACATCCTTCAGGTACCATTGGCCTTCTGAACCATCACCACATTTGCCAGCCATTCTAGATATTGGCAAGGTTCGATGAAGCCTGCCTCCAGCAATTTTTTGACCTCGGCTGCGATGTCTCGGTTCTTATTAGCGGAGTAATTCCGCTTCTTTTGCTTAATTGGTCGACACGTTGGGTCAACATTAAGCTTATGGGAGATGAGGTCTGGACTTATCCCGGGCATATCAGCTGCCGAGAAAGCAAACACATCTCTGTTGTCCCGAAGGAGCTGAATAAGTTCACAACGGGTATTCGGATCAAGGTCCATCCCGATTGTTACACATTTCTCAACGTCTCCTTCGGCCAACTCAACTGTTTCAGTCTGTTGGTCCATGTCCATTGCTGATGGACTGGACTCTTCATAATCTGGCCTGCTGCCTATGTCAGCAGGTGTCCCAGTCTTTTTGTTCTTCGGCTGGCTCTCTGAGTCTTGCTGTTCAGCTGAAGAGCTAGCCTTTTCCTTTTCGGGCCCTTTACCTCTGGGTACAGATCCCTGGGCCGAAGCACTTAGGCCTTTCGGCTTTTTTGTGCTTGGCTCTCTTTCTTTTTCTTTCTCCTCCTCATCCTTGTCGTCATCTGGGCGACTACTGGATGGCTTGAGGTAGTTGCACCTTCGGGCGTCCTTTTGGTTGCCCTGTATCCTTTCGGGGAAGCCAGCGTCTGAGACGTAAATCATCAGCTGATGATAAGTTGAGACGACCCCTTGGATCTCATGAATTATGGGTCTCCCCAAAATCACGTTGTACACTGAAGGAGCGTCAATGACCAAAAATTCAATCATGACGTTCCTAGCTGCCTCATCGCAGCCGATGGTGATAGGAAGTGTCACCTTCCCATCTGGATAAGTTGAAGCCCCGTTGAACCCGAATACCGGGTAGGGTACCGGCGTAAGGTGCTTGGGCTTCAGCTTGATTTGATTGTAGGCCTTTCGGAACAGAATGTTTGCTCCGCTGCCACCGTCAACAAGGACCTTACTGACGCCGTGGTTAGCCACCGTGGCGATGATCACCAACGGATCCTCGTGAGGGAACGTTATCCCCCGGCAGTCGGCGGCTGTGAACGTCATGTTCGGCACCGGCGATTGGGGAGACTGAATGTCAGCGTTGTTCACCTGGTGAGTCAAAGCCCTAAGGTGTCACTTGTGCTCCCTCCGAGAACATATTCCTCCCGAGATAACATTGATCGGAGAGAATTTCCCCTCCGGTTTTTTACTGTTCTTCCGGGGGAAGTCGAGGTCTTACCGAGAGTCCTTTGCTGACTTCTCAGACTCTTTTTTCTCGCGGTGATCCGCGATGTATTTTTTCAAGTATCCCTTCCGGACCATGTCCTCTATCTGGTCCTTCAGTTGGATACACTCCTCAGTGTTGTGTCCCGGAGACTCGTGGAACTCGCACCACTGATTTTTATTTTTTCGCTGATACCACTCTGGGAGTGGTCTCGGCTTTCGGTAACTCTGCTCCTCCTTCGTCACGCTGTAAATTTTGGCGCGTGGAAGAGAGAGCGGAGTGTAGGACTCGTATCTGCCTGTGTATGAGGCAGATTTTTCCTTCTTTGGGTCGCTGGCCGAAGATTGCTCCGAGGCCTTTGACTTTCCCTTTGCCTTATGGCCTTGGCCTTCAGACAAGGGTATTTGTCTTTGTTTCCCTCCCCCAAATTGAGGTTGGGTTTTCGCTTTGTTCCATTCTTCGGCTCGGATGAACTTATCCGAGGCATTTAGAGCTTCCTCCAAGGTCTGCGGGGTATGCATGACCATGAAGTCTAGGAACTTCCCGGGCTGAAGGCCATTCTGCATTGCAAAAACGGCTAGCCCCTGGTCCAGCTGAGAGACGCTGGATGACTCGTTACTGAAACGGGTCAGATAGTCTCGGAGGCTTTCGGTTTCCCCCTGTTGCAGACTCATGAGTTCTGCAGTAGTCTTCTCTCGGCGGTTTGCCGTGGAAAACTTGCTCCTAAACTTGGAGGACAGATCATCCCACCCTGTTATGGAGCCTTGCTTTACTCCCTTGGAGATCCACGCTTGCGCGACCCCCTTGAGAGTGGTTGGGAAATATTTGCACCAAGTCGCTTCGGATCTGGGGCAAAGATGCATATGAGTCTCATACGAGGCCACGTGATCCTTCGGATCCGAGGTCCCGTCATATGTGATGTGCGACGGTATTTTAACCGTGGGCACGTGCTCTTCCAGTATCCATTGCTCGAATGGCGAACTGGCGGGTAGCATAACGGCCTTGCCCTTGTTCCTGGCCGAAGGGACCGCGCTCCGCCCTCTTAGAGAGGTAGGAGTGGTTTTCGTCCCTGGCTGGGAAGTTTGGGCCTCGGCCGCAGGGAACGAGAGGCGACTGTGCACGCTCGGTTCCTTGCCGCCGAGTCGGTCGAGGACGCTTCGGCGAACAGTCTCAGGTTGTTCTCGGTGGGTGGATTCTGGCCGAGAAGCTGAGCTGCTGCTCTTATGCGTTTCTGGTCGGGAGGATGAGGATCCTTTGAAAAATTGAGGGTTCTTTTTCCTCTCTTTTTCATTTTTCCAGGTATCCTCTTCCCACTCTTCCAGTTCCCGGAAGGAAGGAAGCTTCCCACCATCATGGTCTAGCTTCCTCCGTTGATGTCGGGTATACGGAGGAGTTCGATCACGAGGTGGTGGCATATTTTGTGCCCTCATTGCCTCCATGAGCACTGCCAGCGCTCTTGCCACCTCCTCCGAGCTGGGCCCCGTCAAAGGGGTCCTCGGCCGAGTATGGGAATGAGGGCGCACAGTCGATGGTTGGCTTTGGGGCACTGCATGTGTCCTATGATCGGACTCACCCCTGCTAGACCGAGAGCGACTCGGCCTATGATGAGAGTTATGAATTACGGGAGAAAGGGAATCCTCCCTGTATGATCCTCCCCCCGAGCTGGCACCCTTGGGAGAGTTCCGGTCCGACGAGGGTGATGGTGTAGGGGTTTTAGGCTTTTCGCCCGCTCCTTGACGGAGGCCTTTGCTCTTGCGGTTCTTAGCCATTGCTACTAAGATAATTGCAAGATGATCTTGGTTAGAAATTTGGCTTAAAGATTTTTGAAAGTCGTCCCCACAGACGGCGCCAAATTGTTTCGGGTGAAAACAATGGGACCTTGTCGAAGGTCCGATGAAGTGGAGAAGACTAGATTCGATCCAAGTAATGTTGGGCCGAAGGTTTCCTGCACAGTAAACACACGTAAACTAGCCTCGGGGGTGTTGCCGAGGAAGGCCCCTCCGATGCTAAAGTCAGTACAGTGCGTAGAAAGAGAACACTATGCAAGAGAATTTGTTGCTTGAGGCTTTTCTTGAATGAATGTACAAATGTAATATTGATGGCTTTTATACCTCTGCATACATGGAGAAGTTGGGCCTTAGCCCAATTGGCTTGCCTTGAGGACTGATCTTTGACTTTAGCACAATTGGAGAGATGAACCTTGACCTTGGGCTTTCAATTGGATCATTTAATGCCTAAGCCCAATTGGACTAAATTAGACCCAAACATTTTGTAAACTAGTAATGTTGCATTGATATGATTTAATTTTGGAATATTTCTATTTTCCTATCAAATAGTACATTGTTTGAGTTGATGACTTATTATATATTGTGTAGTTTCAATGCAAAAACTAAGTTTTGATTCGATCTCCAGGATTGTATCCGATGATCGTTGTGCATACATGGAGTTTTTTTCGGTCTCCATTTGTTTTTATGGTGATGATGGTTGCAAAGGGGTCACAGGACAGATCTCGGCTTGTGATGAAGATGAAGATTTTGTTCTGTTTGACGGAGCCTTGGGATATCACAATTCTCATGAAACCGTAAATCCAACGGGGCCTAGACGTAGTTATCGCGGTGATCATTTTTTAATTAGCGTCGACCTCGAGGATGGCGAGGGTCGTGAAATAAGTTGTGGGTGTGTGGGATATGATTTCAGCAACGCACATATAGTTTATAATATGCGCATGTGTTCAATTATCCGAGGCAAACATGGTTTTGCAGCTCTTCATTACACTATTTTCAGTGATGCAATTCAAAGTAAACTCAAGTTTACATTATCTCCTGTTACTTTTTTTACTAATGTAAATTATCAAGTTTATGGGAAGATAGTTACAAGTTATAGCAGCTACAAATACAGTACACACTATCAGAAGAAATACTACCGGAGTATGGTTTTTAAAAAGGGCAAGGAAGAGGCTGTAAAACTTGGTGTTATACCGTTGTCAAAATCAGTGGTTGCTGTGCCACTTAATGGAAGTAGTTCACTGATTGTTTCAGCAAAGCTGCATGTGTTACTTAATGGTAACCATATTGAGACTGTGCAATATGTGCAGACATTTAACCCACGATGTCCGAAAAGAACACATTCCAAAAAATCACGAGATGAGTCTACGGGTAAAAACTTTCGTTTTCAAGCATCTATCAAGTGGACGAAATTTGATATCTAGCTTTTCATTTGATCCAGCCCAGAGTATGTAACCCTGCAATTATTTAAAATACATATGAATATATCATATTGCTACTAAGATGAGTGATATGTGTGTTTTTATAATTGTTGAATGTGATTGGTGATGATCTTGGGTTTCTTTGATTAGATATCTTGGTCTGTAGGGAATTTATATTTCGTTTATTGTTATGTTTTGTCGAAAATTTTGTCTTAGTGTGTAAATTCTGTGTCTGAAGATAGATGTGTTGATTATAGGAAGGAATGATACATTCAATATAAAATTATTTGGAGTTTGTGTCTTTGTGATACCTACTTGGGTAATCTATGAGAGATCATTTGAACTGAATGATTATAATGTGCTTCATTTATTGAAAACATAGGTGCAAGGTATTGTTGGTATTAAAGCGTTATTAATAGTGATTAACATGCTATTGTGCCAGGTTTTGTGCTACATTTTATGTATATATATGAGTGCAAAGTAACTTGTTGAATTTTAATTGTTTCAGGTATGAATTACAAGTTTAAAGAGGCTCTATGCTATGTGATCCTATTGATGACGGTGAGAGATTGAAGAGGAAGCAAAAGACTAATGTTTAATTGTCCTTTAAATTAATCACAAAAGACTGATGTTTAATTGTCCTTTAAATTTTAGTTGGTTGTTATCTATGATTAGGATTTGTGTTTTGTTGCTATCTACCGTTGGAGCTCAGTTTGGTGGAATATTCTTTCATGTCAGATCCATTTGAACTAATTGTGTTTGTGATTGCTATTTTATAGTATGAACTTGATATTTGGCATGATTGATTGAGAGTATTTGGCCATATTTGCACATAATAATTTTACTTGAGCTTGATTTTCTGTAATTTCTATATATTATATGCAAATCCTTTGGAGCTGCTCAAGGAGTTAAAGATTCATTAAGGGACCCTTGTATATGAACTCTTACAGCTCTGAAATCAATGTCGGTTGAGCTCAAGCCATCATCAAACTCTTCAACTTCAATCATTTGCCCAATCTAATTCTAGAAATACATCTTAATTGATAGATTTGTGCTGGCTGACTTTGCATAAAAATTAATACTATGATTTTTTCTTTGTTGTTATAAGACACTGATCTTATTCTGGTATACACGGTTTTGAACAAGATACAGTTCTTGATACCTGTTCATCTAGTGAGTAGTACAACTTTGACGAGTCAACCTTCTGCGGACCTGTCTTCCGGGTTTTGAAACAACTAGTACAAAGATGGCGGTTGGGTGGGGGGTGTCGACAATGGGACTATTAATTTCAGATGGAGGGAGTAAATGTGATTGTTGAAAGACACTCGATGACCAATAAAAGTGATGCATCTAAATTGAAATTTGGCATCTTTCTACTGCTAATAAAACACAGAAGGAAATTACAAAGCCCGTAAACTATAATCGCAATTGGGCCTTAGGAATTGTGTGTTAAGTCCATCACATAACTCCAATTGGATTGCTAATTTGCCCAATTGAGATAGGCTTAAATTGATAGTCTTATTGTTGGGTTGTGAGTTTGATCTACACTTCTGAGGCCCGGCCTGGAGAAGGGTTGGAAAAGTGTGTGTGTGTGTTTTTTTTCCCCAAATATTAGTTTTCCGTATATACTTGTATAATACAAGGAAAGTCGATGTTTAAAATTTTGTTGTAATGCAACTTCATCCTAAAATACATGTATCAATATTATTATCTAATGTGATAACTAGTGTTAATTAAAATATACGACCAAAAAAATCATCTATTTTGAGCAAATTAAACAACTAATAAAAACAATAACATGTACTAGTGTACTACTACGAACATGATTATCTCTGCAAAAAATTACTTGTGGAACTCATCACCATTATCTCCTTTTATTAAAATCTGTCAAATGAAAAGCTAGCAAATGCAATAATACAATTATATTTTCAAATTTGTGAATATAATTGGATACATTATTTAACCCAAAAAAAAAATATAGATACAATAGAAAAGGATATCCTATCCTTAAAGTCATCCTCTCTTAGGCTCTTACCCAATATAGTTGCATTACCAAAAGAGAAATATTTTATTAAAAAGAAAAAACATAAAGCACAAATATTATTGTGTAATGGGAACAATATGCCGTTTGGCTGTTGCTTTGCTACTCACGTGTGAATGTGATCTCTGATACATGCCAATATTATCTGACAATGTTTAATAATTTTGACATGAACTCTGTTTCTTTGTAACTTGGTGTAATATTTTATATTTACATCCTTTTCGATAAATGTAGGGGACATTAACATCAAATTTTAGGCAATTAACATACCAATTAAACAATTAGAAAAACATCATTGATTGACCTAAGCTAGCTAGAATCAAGAAACCACTGCCAATATGTGAATGAATTAGGATGTCTAGTCAAGGAAATAATGCGCTTAGAAGACTAACAAGGTTCAAACACAAACTACTCTATTATGGTGGATGGTGGATGTGATAATGATTTTAACTACGAAGTATGTATTAACGCAGGGATTATGATTACGTGTGTCAATTGTTTCCTTGGTGCTCTTTTGGTGTATTGTAGATACTATGTATAGTGGCGGATCTAGGATTTTTGAACTTTATGAGTCACCGTCAATAATAATTGATCTATTATTTCAATCTAAAAATTATATAGTAAATTTATATTTCGCCAAAATGATTTCAATCCAAAAATAGGACATAAAAATACATACTATAAAACTATTACATTAAACTAACTTTATGATTTTTTTACTTAGAAACAAGAATTAATTAAAAAAAGTGAGATATCGATATATATATATTTTTTTTTAAGAACTACGGACTAGCTTATTACTTTGTTAGTCAAATAATGTAATGCTAATAGTTTATGTACCATGAGATTAAATAGAGCTATTCTATTTAGCTTAAGCTAACTATTAGTTTGACCGATATTAATCAATCTCAAGCATATATACTACATTACTATGTATTCCATGATATCAATTGAGCAAGGGCATATTCTGATTTACTGAAGTGAGCTAAACTGTTTATGAGAAAAGGAAATTAAAAGCTGAATTGAACCAAAATTAAGCTGAAAAGAATAGATACTTATTCTAAGTAGTTGCAAGGAATTTTTTTAAAAAATCAATTTCAAACTTAAACCTTTGATTTTTTTATTTTTTTTTTTGTAAAAAGTAATAAATTAAAGCAGAATAAAAAAGGCATAGATATACTGATGAGGTCATATGACGGCAGATAAACGAATCATGTCAAGATACAGCAGTCACCTGAAGCTGAAATTTGATTCTAAAGGCGTAATGATAAAGTAATTCCGTACGATTATGTCTCCATTCACCTGCCATTTGATTCTCATTGCTAAAGCTGTTTCCAGTGCTACTCCTATTTTTTGCATTAGTAAGCTAAGGCCTTAAGTTTAGGAAGAACGAAAATATGGCTTTCAATTCCTTATTCCAGGGAAATGTTTTCGAGAGCTATTTTTTATTAGATCTTACCGAAATTATATAAAGAAATAGCTTTTCTTTGCCGGCAAAAAAAAAAAAGTTATGTAAAGACATGTAATTTATATAATGTTTTTGAACGAAACAAGTAGAGTCTATATATATGCAAGGAAAAAAAAATGATCAACACGATTATGAAAAAGTTTGAATAGTGACTACTCATGACCGATTTTCGGTCCACACAATTCATTTGTTGTATGAAAATATTAACAATTGATGATGATTTAGAAGTAAATTAATTTCCTATACTAAAGGGAAATGTGAAACACATACAGTTGCAAGTAGATCGAACAAAACAATTGAGGTGAGTGCACACACATCACTATATCAGAAACTCAATAATTCAGCGCAGCATACACAAACATTATATTGCTTCCCACCAAATTTAAAGTTGCACATAAAACAAGTAAATATATATCAAGTGGGATATGTTGGACCATATAATATTTCACCAACTTTCAAATTTATCATATCAAGCCATGTGAATTTGAAACTAAGTTACAAGGATAACACAAGTATATTTCTACGGTAGTTAACGGTGGACAAAAATGAACATCAAATAGTACTTTTGTAGTTCCGTTTCATATTATTAGTAATGGTGATATTGAGACTTTAATATATTTAAAATTGCGAAATTTAGTAATGGTGATATTGAGACTTTGATATAATGGATATATATAGTACATTAATAACTACTTAAAAGTAATCTCTACTAACAAAAATTCCGAAAAATATCATCAATTTTGAGATAATACAGAGATCATTTATACTCAAAAGTGGTGAGTTGCAGTTGAAGTGAAAGTGTTCACCTTTGCATACTCTTCAATAATAATGAATGAAATTAAAGGGCTAAAAATTGCAATTGGAGCTCCAAAGTTAAGTACTTGATTGCATCACTAATAATGAGTTCATCTAAAATAACAATTATTCAAAATGTATGTGCAATTTAATAGTGAAAATCAGAAAACAAAGGAAGTTATATAGATTTTGAACATAATCAATTATTTGCAACAATATAAGAATCACATACCTCGACAATATATAACCTTTTACACATTGTTCAAATATATTATTTGGTAATTAATCGATAGCGAAAAAGGGGTAATGCAAGGATCTTTATGCCAAACCAAACAAAATTGCTTAGACTAATAACATCGAATTGAAACTAATAAAGGTCATGAAATCTCAACTTTTTTTTTTGTATGTAAAAACAATAAATAAAGCAGATATATATCATAATCAATCAAAAGGATGAAGTTATTAAAATAAAAAGATTTTGAAATTAAAATCACTACCTTCACACCACTAATTAACCTAAATTTAACATATATATGACCTAAAAAAAGTGCTAGATTTAGCAAAATTTAACAAGAATGATTGATTAGTACTCCGTTGATATTACCTTGGAGATCTCCGATTCATAATTAACTCGAAACGAGTACGAATACTCGTTTCAGATGAATGGAAATTTGAGCACAAACATGATGATATTGAGTCAAGTATCTGCTGATGCAGCATCATCAAGATTCTCATATAATCTTACAATTAATTAATTAATTAATTAATTAAGAAAAGGGTTATTTGTGAATCTCGATGATGCTGCATCTGCAAACACCAACTATGAAATAATAGAGAGATTATATTGAGGAAGAAGAAGGGTGAAGCTTTTGAATTGAAGCATCTTATGAGTAAAGTGAAGGTTGGGAAAAAAGGGCAATAAATAAAGGAAAATTTAGATAATAACTAGGGTTTGATCAAGTTTTAGGGGTACAATTTTGTAAAATGAGCACCACCAAATTAAAAGCTGCCAAGCCCACCATGCTACTACATTTCATTTTAAAGTCAAAATTTTAATGATTTATATTTATTTAATAATTCTATTTGAGAACTTTTGAAGATATACCTTAAAAAAAATACTCAAAATATTAATTCAGGTCTAGCTTCTATTTTTTAAACTGACACATTAGAAGTTCTCCTCATAACCTCATGAGTTCTTTCTTCTTATCTTAAAATAAATAAATAAATTTATACATGTGTACAACTACGACTTTAATTCTTTGGAGCTTCAAGTGCAAATAAGAACATTTAGGTCAAACATGAACTTGCAAAATTATATGATTGACTGGATAAACCGATGGTAACTCAATTCATTTCGACTCATTTGTAAATCAACTAATTTTTAGAGCCCTACTAACCTAAATTTTTTTTTGTTGGTGTTCCATCCGGTTTACATTTTGGGATAATTTGGATTATGGGTTCAATTTTGGATGGTTAGATTATCATACCCTCCAAATTGGTGTGGGGGATTGAACAGGCGGTCGTCCCTACCAAGTGCAACCTCTATTACCATACATTGCACCAACAACCAATTGATATCAACCAAAATAATGGTATGAGGGCCAATTCATTTAGACAGGTGTTTGATTTCAATTCCTTAAAATGTCGAATATGATTATGTTTTTTGTTTTTCTTTAAAAAAAAATTCTAATTAATGAAATTAATTTAAAATAGATTGTATCATTGTATGCATATGTGAGGAAACATTTATAATTATGTCTATAATTAAACAATCACAGAATAAATAGGGCTAGATTAGTGAGTAGTGACTTAATATTTTATATACAAGTGCTTATCAATTTTAACCATCACAATCAAGGGCCTCAAGGCATTAAAAAAAATTGATTGAAACAGTAAAAAGGAATCAATCTAGCTTAGGATATTAATATCTAATTTGACACTAAGTCCATTTAGTGATAGCATGAATTGAAAAGGCTAATCCTTGTCCATGTCACGCTTGTACTAATGAATCCTAAATTAGATTACAAGATCGAATAATAAATTTATCCTTTGGAAGTGGAAAAATGATACTTATAGTGATACCTAATTAATTATACTTGTGGGATATCAATTATTTGATCTATTTGGAGTTAATGGATTGGGAATTTGGGATCGGGGTACCAGGCAACTAGTCTTGGGTGAGGCTGATCTCATCCAATATATAAACTAGAAGTATCGTGTAACATATAGTCAAATTAATATTTACATGAAATGTTATGTTAAGATGACTAGTCGCACAACCCGCCTTTGCTTTGTAGCAACATAAAAACGCAACTTTAACAATTGTTACCAGTAATAATAAGATTTGATAATTCTTATACCACTGTATGAAATGAATTTACAATAATTTATTGTGAGATTTATCCGTTTATGAAACATTTTGATTTTAACGTCACACAACTCAGTACTTACTCATTATAATCCTTGTCGAATTCCTCCAATGGTGCAACTTGATAGTTGCTACTTGCTACCATTTCAGGAGAATCCAAAGGGATATAATGCCGGGATTTAGCTTAGGTTTGTAAACTGATAAAATGGCACTATGGAAGTATAAAGAGAAGAAGGGCATCAATTCGTAAAGTAGATTAATATTGGCATATTCCAAATCTACTCATCAGCCATAACCACGGTTGTGAAAAGCTTAAAAATGGTGGGTCCATGCTCTCTTATTTGCGGAATTTGGCACCCAATTCTAACAAGAAGTTATTCATGGGACCTCTATGTTTGATATGTATCTTCAACATAACCAATTTTATGGATCAATTAGAGTCGAACACTGTATAAGACATTGGAGGAGAGTCCAACTAATAAATACAAGCCTTGTAGGGCTACATTTTAAAACAAATAGCTATTGGGTAGACTGGTAGAGTAACCCAATACTCCAATAGAGACTTATAGGCTTATAAAGTCATAAGTTAGTCATCCTCCCACTTGTTGAATTATCTTAACACCATCATAAGTTAGTCATAAGATAAAATGTGAGACAATTAATCCTAACTCACATGCGTCTAATTATCTTAACACCATCAAATTACCAATTTCACCGAAAAGATAGAATAAAATAATTACAAATACTACGGAGTGGATACTAATTAGTCAATTGCTTTCACAAAAAAAAAAAAAAAAAAAAAAAGAAATTAATTAGTCAATTGTATTGACTATAAAGATAAAACCTTTTAAAAAAATAAAAAGGTAAGGGTTCGTTTGACATCGTTGTGGTTTTCTGTTTTTTGGTTTTTAAAAGTATATGATTTATGTCACATAATGAATAAAAAATTATTTGAACTTATTAAAATGAATATAATTTTGAAAACTGACAATAGAAAAGTGGAAACACCTTTTTCTTGTTTCTTGTTTTTGGTTTTTAGTTTTTTAAAAAATAGAAAACTAAAAACCAAAAATGATGTCAAACAAGCCCTAAATTCTTACTTACTCTCACTCTAACCAGTTAGTAGTAAGTAGTAACACTAAGGGCCTGTTTTCATACGATTACTTTCAATCTCCTATAAAATATTTAGTTCAATTCAGCGAAGTAAGTTCAGTCAATGAGAACAGACCCTAACAATAGCAAGTACAGACGTACCGTTGTGATTAAAAAGTAGCCAATTAGAAAAACATGGACAAAAGTTATGGGCATTCATGGTTTACATTTATTTAGTGGCCCAAGACTGTAGAAGCATGAGATGAATTAAACAGGCCCAAACAGTAAAATCCAGTTTGAAAATCCACCATTTTTTTTTTTACTAAAAAATCCATCAAAAAGTAGCTTTGAGAGAATGCTTAATCCTTAATTGGAGTGACAATGTTTTTTCTTAATGTACTCGAACTCCGCAACCCGCAAGTGACCTAGCCTAATTTGGGTTCTCATTACCCCACTTCTCATACTTATCTATATCTTAACTTTATTAAATTATACATACTAAATTATCAACTGATCTTAAACTTAACTCTTGATTTTAGAATAAAAAAGAATATTAATAAAACCTTATTAACTTTATCTAATCTTCTATATCTTATAGTTTAACTCTATCTTTTAATTTTTAAATGAATTATACTAACTCATTGAATATATACATCCGAGTACATACACTTGCTCATTTAATTATCAAATTAGAAGAAAAAAAAATAGAATGAGGTTCAATTGAAAAAAATAATACTTACATTGTATAAATTGATTTTATACTATATATATAAACCAATTACTCCGTATTTGAAAAAATAAAATAAAATGCGGAGTAGTACTTTAAATTAGCTTAAAATAAATTTTGAGTTGAGTTACAAATTAAGAAGTACGAGTAATTTTAGGCTATGAATCTATGATAATGTGTCAAAACTAGTTTACATTACTTATTTACCGTACCCTATATTTTTGCGTACTTGCCGTCACAACAATTGCACATCGACTATATTTTACTTCCAACTAATAATTCAAAGGCATTCAACGCAAAAACTATATACGACTAAAATTGATTAAACAAACTACAAACTCAATCGATTAATTAATGAATCAACTACAAAATATAAAACTAATAGCATATCAACACCAAAATAATCTAATAAACTACTCCGTAATATATTATTAATATAACATGTTACAATCTCTAGTTCTCCAACCGATAAAAAAAGGTTCATCTAATTAAAAAAAAACACTTAATATATTACATAATCATATAAACAAAATTATGATGAATATGTACCCAAAATAAACCCCGAACTACCTATATTCCCATTATAATCTAATTATATTATTAATAATAGTAATTAAGCACAAGCTTCCCTAGCATGAGAAATTGGTGTGAAAACAAGCTCCAAATCAGGTGGAATGAAGTATCCATTCTTAGGCGGATCAACTCGTTTATTTCCAAAGGAATACCTCCTCTTCTTCGGTGCCGGTGGTGGCGCTTCCGATACCGGAATACGACATCCGTCATGCTTCGGCGTCATACAACCATAATCATAATCACACTTATTCATACTACTACTCTCCTTAATCATCTCCATATTCTCTAAGGAAAACAAAGGGTTTAGTCTTTTAGGTTAAGAAAGCGAGAATAAAGGGAAAGGGTTTAGTGAACTTGTCTATATATATAAGTTTTTTCTTGGAGGGGAATGAAGTGTTTGGCGTACTCTGGAAGTTGCTACATAAAAGTGGATTTATTTAATTAAAAAAAGATAAAACCGTGTGGTGGATGGAGGTTACAGCTAAGCATGAGATTAGAGACAGGTGGCAAGATGAGAGAAAAAGGGAGAAATCTTACGTGGTGAAGTTAACTACCGTAAGTTGGGAAGTTGATCTGTTGATTCAAAAATGGCGCGAAATAAGATACGAGAAGCGAGGCCTAGTTCTTTCCAGCTCCTAAGCGAGCAAGGCTAGACTTCCACACACTGCGAAGCAGAATAGAGAAGGGCAGATTTGAAATGAGTACTATAGAACAGAGCAGATTTCAACAGTACAGAGCAACTCTAAAGAACAGGCCTAAGCTAGATTTGGTTTGGGTAGTGGGGTGGGCATTATTAATGGGAAGAGGAAGAGTGCGCACAAATTGAGGTTTGGTCGGTGAGACACCAGACTATACATAGGGATGTCACTGGGGCGGGTCTAGTAGGAGACCCGCCCCATCCCCGCCCCGATGGGGCGGGGATGGGTCTAGCTTTGGCGGGTCGCGGGGCGGGGATGGGTCTAAAATCCATACCCGCCATGGGTGATGGGGCGGGGATGGTTGTTATGTAATACCCGCCCCGCCCAGACCCGCCCCATACCCGCCCCGCCCCGCCCCGCCTGACCCACCCCGTACCCGCCCCGCCCCGCCTGACCCACTCCATACCCGACCCATACCCGCTTTATACCCACCCCATACCCGCATAAGACCCGACTAGCCATAGCATAATACGATTAAAAAAAAAAAATTACTACACCTAATGAAATCTAACCCAGTAACCCACTTACCCAATACCCACCCTCATTCAGTCATTCACTCATTCTCAAAACAAAAACCCTAGCCTCACTGCCTCACTCTCTCCTCTCACAGTCTCACTGCCTCACTGTCTCAAGCGCTGAATCTCTTCCTCAAGCCTCAAACCCCTCTCTTCGATCCTTCTTCTTCAACCTCGTGGTCCTCGTCTGCAATCAAATCTCTTCGATCCTTCTTCTTCAACCTCGATCTTGCAAGGCTGCAACTCATTCAATTTAGGTAAACGTTTTCGCATTATTATCTTTGAATTTTCTTAATTCAATATGTTCAATTAAGAATTTCTTAATTGGGTTTTCGATTGAAAGTATGTGATTCGTCTTTTATTTATGATTTGTTCGATTGCGGTTTTCAATATTTCATTTGATTGAGCTAGGGTTTCGTGTTATATTTGTATGATACTTTCAATCTAATGCAATGTAGTTGATTACTGTTATTTTTTGTATGATAATGTATGAATATGATGACCTCCAAATTTTTTAGTTTATTAGGGTTTTAATCTAGAATTTTCATTACTTGTTTTTTTTATATTTAATTTCACAAAATAGATATAATAAAGTCGAAATATGTATAGATTGTAATTAGTTTTTCTCATTAATTTCAGACTTATAAGTTTATGTTTATTATTTTAGCTTATGTGTGATAACTAAATTCGGATTATGTCATTTGACCACTTATTCGATCATTATAGATTTAGTTACTTTTTTTTTATTTAATTCATTTACTAAGATCAATCTCTGTAGTACACACTAACTTAACACACTTTGTATATAATTAAGTGGGGATGAATTTTGATTGTATTGTAGTTCAAAATATATATACTGATTTTTTACTAAATTTGAATTGAAAATGACTGGCTATTAGCCTATGAATGATGCATGGTGTGTGTGAGCGTTTGTGTTTGTATCTATGTGGCTCAGTGGCTATAAATTTGTGTTGTAGCCTGTATGTAGTGGTTAGTGACTTAGTGTGATAGGTGGTTAACTGGTTATGCAGCAGCAACAATATATTAACATAGCAGTTACAGTATGACATTATGCATTGATAGGCCTTTCAACATGATATCTTCCGATAGCTGTGCTAGAAGCATGATCTGCCTTTGCTGCTGTGCATTGCTAATTTGCTATTATTAATTTATTATTGCTGTTTCTGAGATGTCAAATGTGTTCAATACTGTAGTCAATATGTCTAGTGCATTAATTGTCTTTATTTAATTTTTACAGGGGAGAATGACATCTAAAAATCAGAATAACGCTAGTGTTCCCACTTTCGCTAGTAATACTCCAATTGCAATAGATGATGATGAAAGTCCTCTAGAGACTAATTCCGATCCTTCTCTCCTACCAATTACTAGTAGGCATACTTCGGCAGTGTGGTCTGATTTTAAGAGAAAGAGAGTTGGGGATGTGATAAAAGCTGAGTGCAACCATTGCTCCAAGCTACTTGCTGGTGGGTCAAAAGAAGGAACTACTCATTTGAAAGATCATATAAAAATATGTCCAAAGAGAGTATGTCAAGATCTTCGACAAACAAGAATGTTTGGTACAAAAAAAAACTTGAATGATAAGAATGACACGATGACATTGGCTCCTTACGAATTCCACCAAGAAGATGGAAGAAGAGACTTGGCAGAGATGATTATTTTGCATGAGTATCCAATTAGCATGGTTGAGCATATTGGTTTTAGAAAATATAGCAAGACACTCCAACCTGGATTTAAAGTGCCGTCTCGCAACACAACTAGAAAAGATATTATGAAAAGATATGAGCTTGAGAAGGAGAATGTTGCAACCTTGTTGAGGAAAGCAAAGGGTAAGATTGCCTTAACTACTGACATGTGGACAGCTGACAACCAGAGAAAAGGTTATATGGCGGTCACCTCACATTTTATTGATAATACATGGAAGTTGCAAAGTCGGATCATAAGGTATTGTTTTCTGGTTACTTATAACTTGTTTATTTTTTTTGGTTGTCTTTGTATTGCTATAGTTTTTTGTGTGAATTTTAAAATCATAAGAATTATAAGTTGTGATGATGGATGATAATAATGAGCCCATATATCCACAATAGTATTGAATAGACAAATAATATATGTTATTTTCATTGGTTTTGGTAGGTTTTTATATGTCCCCGCCCCTCATACTGCTGAGGTTCTTGCTGATGCTTTGAAAGAAAGCATTCAATCATGGAATCTTGATCTTAGGTTGTCTTCTATAACCGTGGATAATTGTTCAACTAATGATGCAATGATGGAAATTTTGAAAGGAGGGTTTCCATATGGCTCACTTTTATTGCGAGGTGATTTTTTTTCATATGCGTTGTTGTGCTCACATATTAAATTTGATTGTTCAAGATGGTTTAAGTGCTGTGGTATCAAATGGTGTTCAAAGAATTAGGGATAGTGTTGTGTTTTGGACTGCTTCTGATAAGAGAGTACAAAGGTTTGAACAAGTGGCTAAGCAAATAACTCCTGAGTGTAGTAGAAAGTTAGCACTTGATTGCAAAACCCGGTGGAATTCTACTTATGAAATGCTTTCTATTGCTACTAGTTATAAAGAAGTGTTTGTTGTTTTAAGTGCTCGTAATAATTTATATAAGAATCCACCGACCCCTGAAGATTGGGAAAAAGTTGAGAAAATATGTGAACATTTGGAAGTGTTTAGTAAAACTACCCTTAATTTTTCAGGAACAAATTACCCTACGGCCAATCTTTATTTTCCTAAAATTTGTGCTTTGAGAATTGCTATTTCTGGTTGGCTTTTATCTCCTCATGATTACGTAAGGAAAATGGCCGACATTATGTTACAAAAATATAACAAGTATTGGGCTAGTGTGAATGGCTTAATGGGAGTGGCAACAATACTAGATCCTAGATACAAAATGGCTCTTATTCGCTTTTATTTTGCAAAATTTTTTGATGAGAATGACTTTGAAATTGAGGTTAGTAGAATTAGTGATCTTCTACGAAGATTGGTTGATGAATATGGGTCTAAGATGGGTAAAACTCAAGGTAGTAGCAACCAACAAGCTTTTGATTTGGGTAGTAGTAGCAAATCCAATGAAGAGACCTTTATGCAAGAATTTGCTGAATTTTTACAACAAGATAAGGACTCAAGTCATGATATATCAGATTTGGATAAGTATTTAGATGCTGCTAATGTGCCTCTAGTCCAAGATTTTGATATTCTTAACTGGTGGAAGACAAATGGAGGCACATATCCCATTCTTCAGCAAATAGCATGAGATATATTGAGCATTCCTGTTTCTACTGTTGCATCAGAGTCCGCATTTAGCACAAGTGGTCGGGTTCTTAATCCTTATCGTAGTCGGCTTTTACCGGAAGCTGTAGAAGCTTTGATGTGTACTCAAAATTGGATATGGGCTGCTTCTAAAAGTAAATAGCTAAAATAAAATTTTATTTAATTAATAATATTATTTATTTATTTATTTTAATTAATTCACATTGTATTTGCAGATTGTGGAGAATTTAAGGATGATGAATATGCTAAATTAGTGGGAGAATTAGAGGAAGGACTTGAAACATGTGATATCGATTCTGGAACAAGTGGACTTTGCACCGAATAATTCAAGGCCTAATGAATTTCTTGTTATGTATTTGAATATTTGTAGACTTGTAGTTATTTTTAATATTTGGACTTTGGACAATTTGGAGTTAGCGTTTTTTTTTTTTCTCTTATGTACTACTAATTTTAAGTTTTTTAATATGTAGTAATGTAGTATGTATGCCTAAGGTGTTGCACTTTATGAAAATGGTTGATCTTGCAGTGGTTTTTGTTGGATTTGAGTTAATGGGATTTGTATGCACTGCTACTTTTTCATTAGTCTACTATGAAGTCTGCAGGGTTTCAGTTGACACTTGAAACTTGAAAGACAGTTGCTTTTCTCAATACTAAGTTGGCGGGTATGGGGCGGGGAATTGGCGGGGATGGGGCGGGGGTTTGGCGGGTATGGGGTGGGGGTTTGGCGGGTATGGGGCGGGGACGGGGATGGGGCGGGGGTGGTTTTAGAGTTGGACCCGCCGGGGCGGGGACGGGGATTATTTTCAGACCCGACATGGGGATGGGGATGGGGATGGGGATGGGGATGAAAATGTGAGGCGGGGATGGGGATGGGAATGCCAAAATCCGCCCCGCCCCGCCCCGTTGACACCCCTAACTATACACTTTTAGGTATGTTCTCCACTTCTCCACCGACGTACCTTATAATTTATGTACGACTATCATACGTTGTTATACGTAGTATCATACAAAGTATTAAGTATGTTAATGTTGTATGATCTAGAGATGTAAACTAAAATCGTCATTACTTTTTTTTTATTGTTCTCAAGTATTTTAATTACGTCATTATAACTGTGAGTATATTAACTATTATGTTCATTATTTGCTCGTTTATTTTAGTAGTATTCAATATAAATAATTAAATAAATTATATTTTACCGTCCAAAAAAAAAAAAAAAAATACATTTAAGAAACGAATACTAAACCATACAAGCAATAGTCCATAGCTGTATCACTTGTATCATGTTGATAGAATCATAGAATCCATGAGCTCAAATATGAGAGTATGAGACAAACCACAAAATTTTAGATACACTTTACTGCAAAGTCAATTAAGGGAGGTGAAGGCCCGGAAGTGGAGACATCTGATATGGGCTTCAGCCACTTTCACTACATTCAAACACTTTTCTTTTCTTATATTTAATCAAACCCTTTCAGCAGTCCATTGACCAGGCCCAATTAATCATTTGGGCTTGAAAAATGCCCACTTTAATCCCTTACTTTTTTTCTTTTTTCTTTTCGTATTTTTTATGTATTTGACAAAGAGGATTTCAAAAAAAAAAAATAACAGTACTCCCTCCGTTATTGCTCGTAAATATTTGCTCCGCTTTCCTTTTCCATCCGTTTTTAAATACTTGTTTCATTTCCTTATTTGAAAAACTTTTATAATAAATAATCAATTTTTATCACCAAGTGGACCCAACAATATTAATTTCATATTCTCTCTCTTTCAATTCTCTCCACTACTTTTGATTTTTTTACAATTTTTTAGTCTTCCACCAAGCCCACTACCTACATATTTTATTACTTTACCCAATCTGCGTATGGAGAAATAGAGCAAATATTTAGAATTAGAGGGAGTATTTGATAAAGAACTATTCAAAGCATATAGGAAGTACAAAACTTCATGTCTAACCGGCCTATAAGCTGTGGTTGGTGCAATGTGGGCCGGTTCGCGGAAAATGGGCCCATGCCTGACCGAATATTGGCGACTTAAGTCTAACTTGTATAAATGTATAATGGTCCTATATTCCTATAATAAGTTTTCAAATTGGAAGGCATCTCTCAATTCTTTACCAAATTGTTTTTTTCTAACTAAATAATTATCAACAAAACAACAAACATAAAACATAAATCTAATGAAAAAGTCTATCTTTTAATGATTCACATTTTAACTGTGCATTGCATGATGAAATACAAACTCGTAAAATTCTTGTTTGATAGTTATAAAGTTCCATTGTTAATTGTTACCCGTTTGAGTTAGATATTAAGGGCGTGTTCACATTTAATAAACTAAATTGAACTGAACTGAACTAATAGAACTAAAATGAATATTTTATAAGAGAAGAAAATTAAGAGCTGAACTGATTGGAACTGAACAGCTCCTAACTCTTAGCAAGTTGTACTAATTAGTTTAACTAGCTGGTTAAACAGACAACTTGTATACAAGTTTTTGGTAAACAAATGTTGTTTATTTGCAAATGCTATTATATTTTATTTAACAAATTAAAATGACTTATAAGAAAGGGGAGTCTTTGATAACATATTGTAAATTTGTATTATATGAAGTAATAAAGTTGAAATAGTTATTTTATCATTAGTTTTTAGACTCAAACTTCTCCATTAAATCTTCAATTCTCTCTTAACAAAACATTCTCACTAAAGATGTAAATAAAATAGTTAAACGTCTCTTTTTACGCAAAACTATGAGTAAAAAAACAACCCCCAAAATTCTTAAATCAAACAAATAAGGGCAACTGTCATCCTTGTATAACTCAAAAACGATTCGTGCAGATGCTCAAATCTTAGACAAACTTACGCCATAAAATTCCTTCTTTTTGAGTGCTAAAATCATCACTGAATCACTGATAGATCGTTAAATAATGACAACGTAAAAGTACAACTTCACAAATCACAATCCACAACACAAAAATAAGATTATAAATAAAAAAAAAAAGGTACAGCATCACAATCCAATAATATTTTATACTACTACTTAAAGTGTGCAAAATCATAGAAAATAAAGATGAGATAAGAAAAAGGCACATACTATAAATTCCTAAAATATTCTTCTTCATTGATCTTAAAACACGTACGGAAAAAGTCACTTTTCTTGTTATCTTTATTTATACTCTTGCCTTTTTACATTTAATATACTAACTCCGTTTCTTATTAGTTACAATTTTGAGGTATTATTTGTGAGATATAAAATATTCCAAAGTTGCAACTAATACAAAACGGAGGTAGTATATAATATGATCATATCATAATTCACGATGATAAAATATTTGTAGACAACATCAACCAGTCATCCAATTATTTATCCAGTTCAATTGGCCTACGGCATATCATCTCATATATTTCCAAAGAAAAAAAAAAAACAAGTAGTTGTAATATTTATTTTTGGATCTTATAGTATACGATATGATCTTGCTATATGATCTATGTCTCGTACTTCGTATATGACTTCCGATATAAATTGCGGCATACTCTTGTGAAAATGTCTACATCGAGAAAGAGATTTATAACACTCTTTTTTTGTTAAAAAGGCTGCAACCTACATCTTTCCCTATTATGGCATATCTCCATATATACCTTCTATATCTACTTATTATTAGCTTGCGGCTATTATCCATCTTAAATTGCTAACTTTAATTGGTAATAAGGTAGTCTCCATTGATGAAACCAATTGTTACAAGTCACATTATTTTTGTCAACATTTGTGCCATGTTGGTCGATTCTTATTTCCCATTGTGTTTATAAGACACACGTGTTAGATTCGTACGTAATATAGGATTTACACATAGTCAAATGGGTATAGAAATAGAGAGATTGGAGTAATAAAGATCGTTTTTTTATTATTTTTTTTTGTACACAATTAAGATTGATTTTACGATAGGAAACATGGACATAATTATGCTCTTAATATTTAATATATTACTTACTTCAGTTTGATCTTATCAAAGTAATAGATTGAAATATGTTGAATTAGTTTTTTGTATTTATATATTCCTACAAAAAATTAAAAGGATAGAAAGGTACATACACTTAACTACTTAAGAAGTCAAAAATCATTACACTTGGTTGATGGAAATTATATTAATAACTTCTCTATCATATATATCTTATCTATAGGTAATTTGGTAGAGTTGTAACATGCATTGTGAACTTGATCGTTGAAAACTATTCATTGAGAATAGACATTTGAATGAGAGAGATAAGATCGAAACTGAATTTTGAACATACACCATTGAAATTACTTTTTCCTTTGTTTTTATATTTCAAAATCACTTTCTCCTTTGTAGTAGGCATATTTAGCTTCAATTCTTTTATCCTTTTCTCGATCTCTTTTTTTTTCTTTAACCTATACTATATTACTATACCTTATATTCTTATATGTCTTCATACTCTACATTTCTTGCCTTTACAAGTATTGTTCTGTTATAGTTATAATTGGCATGATATTGCTCATTTCTTAGTACTTCAAATATGTGCTTATTCGCAATAATGTTTGACTTCATTCCATGAGTATTACCCACCATTATTCCTACGTCATGCTTAAATTAAGAGATAAGGTTTTTGGTCGATAACTAAGCTAAGGTGATATTCTATTCATTTCGCCTGATTTAATCTTACTTTTTCTTATTTGACCTAATTTGACTTAGTCTGGTCTAATTTAATTTCCTAACTTGAAGAATTTATGACTTTATATTGTTCATTAAATCTTAACCAAACAGGATATTGTTTGATTCATTTTAATTTGTAAATGTTGAAATTTCTTCAATATGATCAAATCCGATCAATTCTAAAATAAGCCAATAGAGTACATTCATTGATGGAGAGAATGAAAAGAAAAACAAAAGGGCAGACAATGTATGATTGGTAATTTGGTAGTCCTTTAAAATTTTGAAAGTGTGTTGTAGTCGTACTTTCACAACAACAATGATGATCTCAACTACATTATCACACATGGAAGTCACTTAAAAGAACGTGTTCAAAGGACAAGATTGCCCATTATTATTAATCAAAATTCAAAACCTCACTCTTTTACCATGCAACTTCCAATTATATGCTTACACGTATACTTCTTCTATGATCTGGTGATCTCTTAGAGATTCATTAAGTTTACGTGGACTTAATACTGTTTATCCACGTGTCACTTTGATTCATTGCTTTCCGTCTTTGGATAAGAGTGTGTCAAGATTCTCCGGCAGCTGCATAAAGCTACTAATTTAAGTAACTTTTGTCAGTCATCTTTATTTATTTTTATATAAATAATACAATTAGTGTAATACACTAATTATAATGTATTTTATTAATATTATTATTTATAAACGAGTAGCAAAGTTTAATTCAAAGTGGTCTTACTCAACTATTCATGATCATTTTGAATGAAAGTTGCTTTAAAAAATAATCTATAGTCAGAGGAAAACATGTGTACAAAAAATCTAAACTTAATCACTATTGTAGATTTGTAGTAATGTAGTTAACTTCTTATTATTGTGCAAACTTTGGAACTTAGGTAGGAAATGAGTTCAAGAGTTATACCGGCCAAGAATGAAAGGGGAAGAGAATGTTCCAAAGAATCGGGTTCCTAGGGTTATATATATGTGTAACGTACATACATCTTGATGATCATCTGATCCTCTTTTAGATTGAATTAAGTATTTAATGCGTGTTGACCTCAATCAATCTTTCAAATATTAACAAATTTTGATTTATGATCGATTTTATTTTAATTAATTTGATCACAAAAGAAAACATTGGAGATTGGAGAGAAGACCAAACATGCAACTCTATTGGGATTAGGTAAGCGGAGTATCTCACTTTCTAATCAGGCTTACTCATATAATCATATTCTTGTATGTTAGTTCTCTTCTCTCAATCCTATTGGATTATCAATATGAACAACTCATGACATGACTATTTTTCCTAGTACACATGAAATTCTTTCGTGTACATTTAATTATTGTATTGTATGGCGTAAGCGATTAATTAAGTTCAATCATTCCCAAAAAAAACCTATGCGTGGTTCAGAATGAAGGAACTAAACCGCAATCAAAGATTCAAACGATGCATCAAACGTCATTGAATTGAATGAAGCTAAGAAGTCCTCGTACAAATCAAATCACATTTTAATGTAAGTTGCTCAAAATGTCGTTCCAAAGGTTGAACCCATATAATATTTGCACAAGCATATTACATATACACTATGTAGTGATTGGGCCACCCGCCAAAAAAGAAAGGTCACATACTCACATGGTTTATACACTTATACACCAATATGCATTTGGAACTTTGAGAGTGGACCCTTCATTCCAATCTCACTAAGTTATTCGTATGTTTTTTGATCGATCTACATTAATTATATTCAATCTTATTCCAATCAATCATTGAATTTTCATACGGTACTAATTTTATGAGACATTTGATTTAAACACAGTTTTATATACGAGTATACAATGATTAGAGAATCATGTACATCAAACTTTAGTGTTAATAGGGCTAGGACATTGGACACCACATATGACATTGAACAGTACGGAAAAACTTGAATATTATTTGGAAAGAATTTATCAGTTTAATTTACAATTGAAATTTACATACAAAATTAAATTGATTATTGGAGAGTAGAAGAGAAAAGGAATATGACATTTTGAGATGTTATGTTGATATTAGGACATGAAATCACGGGCATACTTGTGATATCATGTACTCAATATCTCTACTTAAAAACCATATATAATATTCTTAGTGATATCACTATTAAAAACCATAGTATAAAGAGGGTTAAAATTTAAGCAATCCAAAGTAAAAAAATACTCCGTATATTGTATAAGTACTCATCATATTTCAAATGTGCATAGAACACTTTTTTTAAAAACTCAAATTAATAGAACATTAATTGATCATGAAACGCAATTAAGAAAGAGTTGTGTCCAATTTATCTTCCAGATAAACAAAATGGGGTATAAACGTCTTTTTAACTATCAGTGGATGGGTATATGCGTCTTTTCATGTACTAGTTTGGGGGGATATGTGTAAGTTTCTATATACAAGGTGCAAATAGTAATTGAACATCTCACCAAACGTATTGAAAAAATGACTACGCTTTTAAAATATATTTACAGTAATTGCCATCAGATTAACAAAATTCGTTAATCTGGCATATTAACTTGTATTTGCCCATTAAAAAAGCAGGTAATATAAATAACTCACGATTGTTTATTACTCCGCATGACACAATTTAATACGAAGTACAAAGAAATAGGGTGTGTATGTAGTAGACAAACACAAAGTATAAAACTACAAATGAAGCCTCTCAATTGTTTGGAAGGTCTGAAAAATGGATAATATGTAAGGCGGTTGGAAACTGAAAATAGTAAGAATAACGATGGAATTAATAATTAGAAATAAAATCCCAACTCCCAAAGCAGTTTCTCATATTCCCATGTACACCTTCTACACTATCCTATTTTTGGGGGATTACTACGTTACTCAACTAACATGATGTTTTCTACGTTAAATACCTCAAGCTTTTGCATATAACACATTTTGTGTGATGCTACTTATTACGTTCAACGTTCTAAACGCCGACTCGTCGATCTTTATGTTAAAAAGACAAGATTTTTAAGTCATCTTTTGTTTGTGGGACTTTATACGTAACAAAATAGACAAAACATACTCCGTAATCCCTTATTTTTTCGGTTTATCAGTCTGAAAATAAATATAAAGGAAAAACATATTTTATAATTCTATATACTATGCAGTAAGATTTTATTATAGTAGCTTGTAAGATAACAAATTAACCCCTATAATAGTGAACGAATAACTTCTATAATAATGAACTAGTAACTTGTATAACACTAACGAAATAATCCTCGTGATGGATGGACACACCGTGTGATCAGCTACATATAATTATTTGTAAAAACTAGCTAAGGTCAAATAAGGGGTAAAATAATATTTTATAATATATAGAGTAATAAATTTAGAAAAAAAAATATTACTTTTTGACAGAAAAGATAAAGTCAGTTGGATAAATTAAGTTCGGCAAGAAAAATAAAGATTATCCTATTTCAAGGAGTAATATTTCAATCAAGTTATTTAAGTTTAAATTATTAGTTTCAAATAAGTAAAAAATAGGCATATAAAACTCAATTTAACTATGCAATTGAGTGTAACTCGACTAAAATGTAATCTTGCACTACACTTTCTCCATCCTATTAAGTTCTCCATGTGCACTATTTATGTGGTCAAATTAAAGTTTTCAAACTATGATTGCAATTTATACGGAGTAGTTCAGATTCTAGAAAAACACTTGTATATGTGGTATAATTTTGGAACGATTTTCCTATAAATTGTTTAAATTAAAATTAATTCTCACTTTGGGTCGTTTTAAAAACAAATTCCCTATACGGTGTCCACGTAGGATCGGGTCACTAATTTTTTCAAGCATTTTTTAATATGTAAAACCGCTAGTGGTAATAACCGCAATCACCATTGGCGGTTTATCAATAAAAGTGCTGACTTGTTTTTTTCTCTTTTTTTTAATGCCTAACCTTTTGTATTCCTCTTTACTTGTTTTATATTCTATTTTCCCACGATCATCTTCTTCACTTAGTCCTTTTTCACAATAGCAAAGCAGGGCAATACTCTGAACTATAATTCTATCAATCGTCAATTGTCATTGCCAACAGTCTTATTAATTGGTCTACGAAATCTGATTTCTTAATTGGTCTACTTTTGAGAATTTTTGTCAAGGTGTATTGCATTTTCAGTTGGCTACTAATGGCATTATGTCTTATTAATCCCAATTCCTTATCTTATTTTTTTCATTGGTTAACAGCTTTATCAGGTTTGGAATATATTAATATCAGTGGGCAGTAGGAGGTGGGACTGTCATAAAGTGAAAAAAAGTTGCAAAAAAGTTGCAGTTAGAAACGCTAATACTGATGTTGGTTTTACAAATACAACCGTTACCAACAATTGCGGTTGTAAAATATAAAACCGCTACTATCAATTGCGCTTATATATGCAAACCGCCAACACCAGTTGCGGTTCTACACTGAACAAAAAAAAAAGAAAAAAAAAAATCAAGGTTAAACCCGATCCTACGTGGACACCATCTAGGGAATTTGTTTTTAAAACGACCCAAAGTGGGAATTTATTTTGATTTAAACAATTTCTAGGGAAACCGTTCTATAATCTTGTTGGATTTAGTTTTTTATATAATAAAATTTTAAAAAATATTAAGTTTTTTTTTTTAAAAAAAAAAAATTTACTTGTACCTAATTAAATAAAGACAATAGTTAAAAATGTGCATCGGAGATCGTTAAGTATGAGTAGTTAATATCTCCATTCTCCTCAAAAGAGGTTTATCATAAAAATAATGTCAATTGATGGTAGCAAAATTGTCATCATCATTATGAGCTAAAAGGTAAATTAATAAGTAATCAGGCTACTAATTTAGCATGCAATAGATACAATAAGGTGGATTGCACTACATATTTAATTATCATTATAAAACTTAATTTAACGATTGAGCTAGATGTATACCACTAATCTAAAAAAAGACATTTGATGAGATTGTCTCGATTTATATGAAAGGTTTGGAATATCATATTAACAATAAAAAAACAATTGATCACTGACAACACATCCGACAAATTATATATGCCTTTACGTAAAAATATACATGCACTAAATAATAGTTTCACATTAAGGACTTAATAAGGTTTTGTGTATATATATGTACATGTAATTATGTTAATATACAGTGTCTGCTATGATTTAATTTCTACAAAGTGAAATATTTAGTAACATATTTTTTCATAAATAATTGATCAAAGATGATTAATTTTCTCAAATGTATATATGTAGTTATTTTTGTGTAAATGAGCTAAAAAAAAATACAAATTCAATATGTGATTTAAGCACAAAAAATCCAATATATATATATATATATATGAAAGAATCAATTTTCATTCACACATGTTATATGATTTTTAATAGTTTATTCATAAATAGATAGTGATTCATATATAAATTGAGGTAAGTCTTGATTTGACTCAAGATATATAAATCATAGTAAGACAAGACATCCACAAATGATTATATATATATATATATATATATATATATATATATATATATATATATATATATATATATGATCACAAAATATAAATAGATACATTTAAGTTAGAAAACCAAAATAGTTGCAAGAAATCTATATAATCATCCTCACTCTATAGCTATGTATTTTTTTAGTCACTAATCCAACCTCTCATTTGTAGATGGACACTTTTAAGAAGAAATGACTATGACAATTCATAACATGCATGTCACAAATTTTAACTATTGAGGAATATGAAATATATGGACGGAACCAACTCAAGATAATAAATTGTCACTTTCACTTCCCAAATTAATTTTTATACAAATAAATTCAATGTTATATATTATACTAAATTTCGCCTTCCACACATGAGGTCTCTAATTCAATCTTCAAATTACAACATACTACATACTTCAGAATAATTTTAAAATAAATTATTTTTAAAAAATACAAAAAACTGTAAAGGGACCCCACTGTACGTACCGTGTAATTATGATGTAACTAAGTGCTAACTCTAGTGTTATAATATTATGTTATATCATTAAGGTAGGCATAGAAAACGAACTCAAGGCCACCATATTATAGAGAAATAGTAGTAAGAGAGGGGGAGGAAAAACTGCCCTAACAGGGTGAAGCAAAGTGTTGCCAAAGAAAGGGTGACGCTTGTCATGTAGAATTAGCCTTCACCTATCTCCCTCTCTATATAAAGGCCCCCCCACTTCACCTCAAATTTGAACAACATTATTCCCAAACAATTACAACAACAACAATTTTCAACAACACAAAATCAAACCTTTGCTTATTTTGCCTCCTATCTTTGTTTCCCCCCCCCCCCCTTATTATTCCCCAAAAGCCAACAACATCAACAACAACAACAACCATGCAATACTCTTCTCTCCTTTCCTTTCATTCTCCTCTTCTTCTTCTTCTTCTTCTTGTTTCTCCTTCTACTTCTTTCTTAATCTCACTATTTCTCTTCTTTTTATCTCTCCTATTTCTTGTTACTCTTTTCCAATTACTATGGTTTTTTTACCCCAAAGATAGAAGACCTCTACCCCCTGGCTCTATGGGTTGGCCTTATCTTGGTGAAACTCTTAAACTCTACACTGAAAATCCCAACTCTTTCTTCTCTAATAGACAAAAAAGGTATACATATTAACGCACATTTTCTGTTTATGAATAAGACCCTATATGTTCAGATTAAGTTGTCACATTGTCACAACTAACCAGCTTATATTTATCACAAACAGTTCATATTATATTGTCAACGTGACAGTTAATTCTGGATAGAGCTAGCAGCTGTCATGTCAAGGGATGTGTGCGGTTTGTGTTGATGGATTATTTTTTGGCTAACAAATTACATGTTTTTGTGTTGGGTAGGTATGGTGATATATTTAAGACTCATATATTGGGATGTCCATGTGTAATGATATCAAGTCCTGAAGCCGCAAAGATAGTTTTAGTAAGTAAAGCTCATCTTTTTAAGCCAACATATCCACCTAGTAAGGAGAAGATGATTGGTCCTGAGGCTTTGTTTTTCCACCAAGGAGCCTACCATTCTAAGCTCAAGAAGCTTGTTCAAGCTTCCTTTCTTCCTAATGCTCTTAAGGGTGCCGTCTCTCAAATTGAAAATATTGTCCTCGACTTTCTTCCTACTTGGGAGAATAACTCCATCAACACTCTAGTTGAGATGAAAAAGGTATGTATACATATATAATATGGTCGGTTCATGTTATGCAATTAAACTACCCTCTTTATGTTAAATAATCATGTTCTGTTTTAATTAATTTTCGAAATTATATATATATATATATATATATATATATATATATATATATATATATATATATATATATATATATATATATATATATATATATATATATGAGTTAAGGATGGTTACCTTGGTCGTCTTCATTATGATCAACTAACTAACTTGGTTGGTAAAATATTTTGACCAGTATGCATTCGACGTGGCAATAATCTCGGCCTTTGGTGACAAAAAAGAGTTGGAGGTTGAAGGCATCAAGCATTTGTACCAATGCTTAGAGAAGGGATACAATTCTATGCCCCTAAATTTTCCCGGAACTCCTTTTCACAAATCTATGAAGGTTAATTTCACTTTCTTTCAACCCCACATTATCCTTTTTTTTTCCATATTCCCTTGAAAAGAAAATAACTGATAATTCTTACCTAAATTCTTTCACGCTTGTCCATATCGATTTTGTGACTCTTATGTAAGACGAAGATATGTGACATTTTTTTTTACATCATACTTTAATTTGCCCAACTTTTACCCTCGACCCCCCATTATTTTTTTTATTAATATAATTAATTAGTGACTATATAATAACATAATTAATTATTGTTTTATTGTCAATTATAGGCAAGGAAGCTTCTAAATGGGACATTAAGGAAGCTTATTGCAAAACGAAAGGAGAATAACAACATAGATGGAGGATTATTAGGAGTGTTACTTAAATCAAGAGAGCAAGAAACATCAAGTAATTATGAATTAAGTGATTCACAAATTGCTGATAATATTATTGGAGTCATTTTCGCTGCTCATGATACTACTGCTAGTGTCCTCACATGGGTTCTCAAATACTTACATGATAATCAACATCTTCTCGAAGCTGTTACGGTAATTATCCTAATCTACTATCTAATGTTATCGAGATCCTAATCTGTACACCCGGGTGTACCGTATATCCAGCTGTATATAACAAATTCTAAATGTTATCGCATAATTCTTGAGACATGATGTGATTTACGTACATCATATAGAAGGACAAGTAATAATAATTACTAGTGTACAAAGTGGTACGAGTATTTAATAATGATAGGAGTATCTTTGTAATTGATTCATTAACGGATGACTATGTATATGTATCATATATACAGACATAGATCTAATCTTGAGGATACGGATAATATTAGTATATACTATTATTTGATCCTTTTAATTAATTTATTATTTGAATAATTTCTACGGATCATATGATATAATCTGAATTGTAGATACGGGCAAATTAATTGTAGTTTGTTACATGTGTATCAATTAGTCCATACTTGTTATAGTTACGTGCTTAAACACTTGAGATTTGTCTTTTCTTAGATTTCCATGAAAGTTGCCTGTTTTGGTTCATTTATAAGCAACAAAAGATTCACTATGTATTAAAATAACAATACTGTCATAAAAATAATATTATGCTCCTGATTTTTTGGTGATTTCTTGGTTGAGAAATTTTTGAGATTTAATTATTCTTAAGTTATCTCATCAGCCGTCACAATTCACGTTTACAAATTGCTAGCAAATCTAAAGTTGAATTGTTAATTTTATTTGTTATTTACAAATCCATATTTCAATGGTCATTCAAATTTATGTTCGGAGTAAATTAAGAAATTAAATGTTCATTATTAGGGACTGTCATCTAATTTTATAAAAATTAATAAATTTAAGAAATCGTTAAAAGTTATACAAACTATAGGGTAAAAAAAAAAACCTTAAATACTACGTATGACTATTAATAATGTATTTTTGTATGTATATTAGTACTATTAGTATATATTCCGTACTTTGTATATATGTATTTATGACGGAGTAATTTATATATTTATTTGGGGTTGCAGAAGGAACAAGAAGGAGTTAGACAAAGTTTGATAGAGGCTAACCGTGGTCTTACGTGGGAGGACACTAGAAACATGCCTTTGACTAGCCGGGTATTCATCATCTCTTTGTCTTTTCCATTTCAATACCATTTTTTAACTAATTAAGTAATTAGATGATGTTATGCATCATGTAAAGTAAAACTCTTGTTAGGTACATTTTGATATACACTTTAAATTTAAAATATCCAGTTTTAATTATTATTTAATCATAATTAGGTATTACTGGTAAAAAAAATGTACTTAGATTATGAAATACCAAGCCAAATTAGTATCACTTTAAAAATATAATACTTAATTTTTACGCGGAAATTAAAAGTTATAATTTTTTATATGTAGGTGATTCAAGAGACGTTGAGAACAGCAAGTATACTATCATTTACATTTAGAGAGGCAGTCCATGATGTTGAGTTTGAAGGGTATTTGATTCCAAAAGGGTGGAAAGTGTTACCATTGTTTAGAAGCATTCACCATTGCGCTGAATTCTTCCCTCAACCTGAAAAGTTTGACCCTTCAAGATTTGAGGTACTTGTAATTTTCCTCCCTAGTTCGAGTTTATCTAAATCTATGAAAAAGACTATAGAATGAAGTAGATCGATGTCAATTTTCTATGAGCAAACATATTAAAACACTAATGAAATCTTACTCTTCTAGTCAAAGATTATGTCTAAGATATTTTAAGTTTTGTAATTGTATCGAAATAATATCTTATGTCTTTTGGCTGTACGTATATGTGTATGGTATGACTAGGGAGTATTACTTTACTTAGTCGAGATACTAACTATTCAAATTACACTATATAAAGTTTATTTTTTATTTGAATATAAGGTCTATTGTGTTGTTTTGATAGTCTCTATGTATGCAACTTTAATTTAAAATGAAATGTTACTCGAGTATTGAGACTAGTAGATGACGGGTTGTGGTGAAAATATTTTATATGGTTCTATATAACTGAGATCAATAATAGTAAAATAAAGAAAATAAAATATATAATTTGAAATTTTACTAAAGAAAGTGTAAAAAAGTAGAAATGTTTGGGGCTATGAAGGGGATTGAAAATATAAGGTTTGCAATGACTAGATTATGTATGGCAGGGAGTATAGGGACTTGGGGTAAGTGTCAATATCAGTGGAATATATGAATCTTCATGTTTTCAGGCCTTTGGAAAATTGGAAGATTAGGGACCCTCTATAAGATCTCTACTAGACTACTAGCATCAAAGCACGTGACTTTCTCTTGGATTTTTTTTATTTTAATTTTTATTTTTCTGCATAATTTTATATGTGCTATTGTGTTCTCAAACTTCTTGTGGTATAATAATTACGTAATAGAATACATGAAGATCATCTATAAAGAAGTTGGAGTATTTTTCAATTCAAGCTGGTTCAAGTCAAATTTAGATAGATGCATCTCCCCAATTCTTCATTGTTAGGCTTTAAACATTTGTTTACAAAGTACTTTGAAACTCTTATTCTACACAATTTTAATTGTAATGCGCTATCATTTCATATATAATGTGACGAATTAATTGAGGCCAATTCACCCCTTTCCTTTGAACATAACTATGCCCCTTCAGAAGTGATCTCGTTTTCTAACTTATGAAAAAAAAAATGGTGCAGGTACCACCAAGACCTAACACGTACATGCCATTTGGTAATGGAGTCCACTCTTGTCCAGGAAGTGAGCTAGCCAAGCTTGAAATGCTAATTTTCGTGCACCATCTCACCACCACCTACAGGTAAATCTCTTCCCCGCTAAATCATTGCAGTGTTCAAAATTGCCTCCTTAACCATACATATTTTTGGCTATGCTAATTTAATAGTTTATGAGATTACGAGAGGGTAACGCTATTATTCTGATAACATCATATCACAGTAAGGGTCTGTTCTGATTTACTGAGCTGAGCTGAATTGAGCTGAACTAAATTGAACTGAATATTTTATGAGAGAAGAAAATTAGGAACTAAACCGAACTGAACTAATTGAAACTGAACTGAACTGAAAATAAGCTGAAGCCCTAATATCATACTACATATATTATTCAAGATAGGTTTTTGAAAGTTACTCTAGATTTTAAATCCACATGTGATTTGTAGTTTAATGTTTATATGAGAAACCTAAATATGAGATCAATATCATATTATTCCCTATTCAATTATATATGGCGCGTCCCAATTGTCTTTGGATGTATCGAAAATTACTTTAAAATACGAGTCAAGTCTCACTAGGGGATATTTTGGCAACATGGATCTTGTGTTATTTACCTTTAAGGCAAGAGCAAGGAAAGATTAGGGGATTGATGAGGCTATGAAGGTGAGTGAGTGTCATGGTCCTTCTCATGGACAAAATCTTTGAGAACAAAAAAGGATCTTTTTTGTGGAGTAAAGTACAATAATTGGGTTTAAAAAAACCCCAAAGAAATTACAATAATCAAGCTAGAGTGAGTGGGCAAACTTTAAAATAATTTGTACATATTGGGACCAAAATTGGACCACGACCTTATGGTCTCCTTAAGCTTTGGAGATGGTCCATGTAACCTACACTTTGTGGCCCAGTGGGCCTTACCCTGGCCCACCAATTCCCTATTTAAGAATGTGACCTAAATCTTTGGAAGAGGGGAGTGGTACAGTAATACTTAGCCTAAGCTAGTCTACTATGTAATGAATCTAATCACGTGAATGTCATGCATTGTGGAGTTATATGGGGTCAATTACTCAATTGAATTTGCAATATTTGACCTTTTATGTATTAAGATATAATTGTACTTAAGAATTTTGAGGCTCAATTGAAATTGTATTTAGTGGTCCTAAGATATGGTCCTCAATAATGTAATGGTACTTATTCAGAAGCTAGGGTAGTCATATCATTATACTCCATAGTTTTGGGGTTGAAAGGTCCTTAACAATGAGATAACATGATTGAGTGATGGTACCGAATAAGATCCTACTAAGTTTTAACCTCATGTAAAGTCGATATACAAATTTAGCAGAATAGTCAAAGAAACTACCAATCTAATAGTGATGTGTTAGTCAGTTAGTAACGTGATCATTCTACAATGAGATTTGTCTCGTTGCATAATCAAAGGGTTTATGAATGTTGCTTAATTTGTAGCCAATTTTAATTTTCATGAAAGTTAGTTATACATCTTCTTTTTCTCGATAGGAAGTACTCCTTAACTTATATACACTTGTGAAGATATATGAAAATGAAGCATCAATATCAAAATCCAAAACACAACCAACAGTTCACATGATTTCTTTCTTAGGTAGTTCAAACTTGCATATCAACACACATACAAGCAAGGCCATAATTCATATAGTATTTATATATACTTTATTTCATTTCATAACTTAATAAATAAATTATGTAACTAACAAATTATAGATAAACCAACGGTTTAAATACACTAAAAGAGCATATTCTACATCCACATCAAAGCAAATTAAATGTTTTGACAGAATAATTTTGAGAGTTTGGGTCCTATTTGACTTGTAAACGATATTAGTATCTACCAATGATTATTTATCCTACTAGGATATATATTTGCCAGCTAGCGTTACTCTACAAATCAAATGGCCCAAACAACTTCATTGCCAGCTGTTAAGACTTAATATCTATCAGATCTCATACATGATCAACTAAACTCTCCACATCAAATCTTACAAAATGAACATAACCCTTGCTGATATAAACTATAGTGGTACACATTTTGCGTACAGTGCGTGCACCACATGTGTCATGTGTGTACGGTAGTATTTAGATGCAATGTGTGCCATGTGACATGATAGAGTAATATTGAATTGATGTTACTACGTCTGTATGCATTTATATAATCATATTTTGAAAACAGTATAAACTGAATGTGGTTACGATATGTTATTTCAGGTGGAAAGCAACAGGAGATGAAGATGGAATACAATATGGACCGTTTCCTGTTCCAAAGCATGGTTTTCCCATAATGGTGCACCCATGAAAGTGAATGAAATAAATTTGGAGCAAATCTAGCTATAACATCTTTAAGTTTTAGCAATAATGAACAAGAATACCAAGGAGAAAAAGAAGAAGATGTAAAAAGTGTTTGATGGAGGGACCAAAAGCCACCAACAGAGAAGGCAGCGTACTCCATTTTAATTCTTAACCCTTCTTTTAATTCCTACTAATCCTTTCGTTTTTTTTTTTTTTTTTTTTTTAAGGAAATATTCCTTTTACATGTGCCTTGAAAGTTTTAATGCACATGTATTTTATTTTATTTTATTTTTTAAAATTAATTTTTAGGGGGAGGGCCCAATTATGTATCCTCCATTGAGATTAGTAGTAGTATCACTATCATTAAGATGATAGTAAATGTAAGTAATAATGTAAGTTTGTGAAGAGGGAAAATGAAATCCAAAAGGTTGAGAAATTAAAGATGATTTCAGTTTGGGCTGAAATTCTTTATTTTATTTCTATGGTATGGTATTCAATTTTGTTTTATTAATTGTGCACAAAGTCAAATATATACACCATTTTTATTTCTATATAATCCTTAAAAAATAATGTAACATTATCTTCAAATTTGGTAGTGCACCTAAGATTGCCAGTTTGCCACGTTGGGTGAAAAATAAGCACAATTTGGAATTGGATATTTCAATATTGAAACCCATGAGAAATGTGCATGTGACCCATGGGACACCAGACTCAGAACCAAGTCTGTGAAGTCATATTGCCAAGGGCCCAACTTATTAAGGATCCTTGTTCTTGTTCCTTACTGTAGTTTCTGATATCAAAAATATGTTGGATAACAGATAATGAATAATAAGATCAAATCAAATAAGTTTTGATAATGATTAAACAAGAGATATAAATTCAATGAATAAAACACACTAATAACTCTAAGGGGGCGTTTGGTATAAATTCCGTAAACGGAATGGAAAGAATTTATATAAGTAAGGGAAAGGGTAATGATACACGTTACCTTTGATATATGTTTGGTATCTTTATAAAATGGAAACAAATTGAAGAGTTTATGATTGAGGAGGGAAACACATTTTGTTTCCACTAGTTGGATAAGGGTAACAATTTGGGGGATTTTGTTACCCTTTGGAAATGGTATTTGTTACTTATAGCTCATACAAAACTAATAGAAACGGAAACACTTATTTGTTTATGTTTCCTATGTTACAAATTTTCATACCAAACACCCCTTTAGTCTATCTAGATTTAGCCACAATCATGGAGAACACAGTTTGTCAGCCGAATATTTAGTAGATTCGCGTTGTATTAACAATTTTATGGTAGTTTCAAATCCTTTCCAAAAAAAAATCACATTTTACGTGGGTATACCTAATTACAACGCGATTTTTTTTTTTTTATATTTTTTTTCGAAAGAAAAATACACAAATACAATTAGGTATGTCTTCTTTAAAGTCTGAGAGTCTAAGACCTAATAAAAAATATCTAATGTGACATATAAATTGTTAAAAATAGATACTCTCTAGTGTCTCAAAGAAATACAATTGGATATTCTTAAACAGGAACCAGTTATAAAATTACAATATTCTTATCTTGACTATCCATAAATTAGTGTTGAATCATTTTTCAAAAATACATAAACAAACAAACAAAACAAAAGATGCGGATACTTTGTAATTGTAGGAATACACTGTGTCGAAGATAATCTGCTTCCTCAAATTACCTGATCCTACAAAAACTAGGCTTTTGGAGTTTTGCAAATTGTCTATTACGTAGTATAATTTATAAAGCATAAAACATGAAAACCATTATCATATAAAAACAAGATGTAATGTGGCGGATGACAATGCTTCTCCTAATGTGAATGGAATCTTTGCACAAAATTCCTCCGATTTTAACACTAAATGGTCAATTCAGATAGCTCCACAACTTCAGTATTTTTACAAACAAGGTTTAAATTGGGATAAAGTTGTGTGGAGTACAGGGTAGGATTGTGTGTCTTCGTTCGTATTTCACCTGTGTCTCCAATCTTCTTGCTTCCGTGACAAATAACTTCATATCAGGCAAAACAAGTTCACATAGTTCTTCATACGTGCTAATAGGCTCAGATAATGCAGAATAACAAACACAAGTTCAGGTTAGGACTAATAAGTTCAGAAAAAGATTGCAAACAGTTATGTTACCGCTGCATCACAGCTGAAACAACTTCAGAGGTTCATGGCACATCAAAGTAATAGCCAAGCTAAAACAATTAGTTATTTAAGATTCACAGTACATCTACACTCTGTCTGCCGACTGATTATTTCATCAATCAGTGAAATATAGTGCATCCCAGAAAAACATTCCTGCTAAGTCAATATCTACATGTCTATTTCATATACAACGTAACATAAATCCAGTTCCCAGGTCAGCAAGCAGTTTCAGTAACAATTCTAAAATGAGAAGCTCAAGCAACTCAAGGATGATGATAGTCATCCTTGAACTATCAGTAAAAAAAAGATAGTGACCCTCCACTCTTAACAGTCAAGGTGAAGTAGTTATCATTGCTCTAATTATCACATTACTATAAGCCAACAAACCATAAGAGATTTGGCAGCTTATAAGTTGCTTGTTTAACATAAATTCTCGCCCAATTATACAATGGTTTGACAAAACTTTTTTGTAAGCTTATATGAAAAAAGCAACTCATAACTAATTTATGATCTATGCTCCTATAGTCGACATGAACAGCAGCGACAACACGAATTTCAGAGAGCTGCACCAAAAGGTTGTACAGTGACCATATTCTGCATAGATACTAAAAAGTCACTTTCAGAATAACTCCGTACTGCTGCTTACCTCAGCTAAGAAAGCATCAATGAGTTGTCATTGATAACACACAAGTAGTCCGCTATAAGATAACGGTAGATGCAGTTATCCAAGAGGAGAACCTTCTTATCTAAAGATCGCAATGCAGTTGAATAGCAAATAAGATTTTTCAGATCAAGAAAACTTCTAGCTTAATAACCACATAAGCACATAACCAAACACAGTCCCTTTGGAAATCAGGACAACCCTGTTGTTTGTTTGTGAATGATGTATACATATATATACTCACATAAATGCATATATATCAGAATGCAGGACGGAAACCAAATTTAAGACCAGTGGTAGCCACAAAGATGCAGGACAAATACAAACCTGAAAGCTGCCCCCACATTTCAGTATCAGTGAGCACCTAACTATAAGCAAATCGCCTACCAAGCATAGCAAACTGTTGATTCCAGGCTGGAATCTCTGGTCTCCATCCACAATGGTATGGACAAACGTCTATCATGCCAAAGCTTGCCACAATTAATTAGTGCCCTTAAATATTGCTAAAAAGAGTCTTTGTTCTTACAATGTCAAGATGATAATTAGTTTGGTAACGTCTGTTTCCGACTCCCAAAGTATGGAAAATGTAAAAGACACGTCTAAAGAAAAGGGGATCACAAGTAATGAATGACAAATATCTGACAAAACGACAAAATGTCTTTCTCACTTCTTCTACACCACAGTGTACGTTCTAACAAAATTATTGGGAGAAGGGGGGGGGGGGGGGGGGGGGGGGAGGAACCTTACTGTACACACTAACAATCGTAAAAGTATTCACAAACATTTTCATGAGTTTTCTCATCCTTGCAAAGGCTCAGTAGTATATGTTAAAGAATCATTGGCCAATTTATCTAACCGGTAAGAGAAGAAAAAAGACCTAAACAGATTGGCACTACATCAGAACCAAAGCCCTATGATGCAAGCAAGAATAACAACCTTAAGTATTACAATTTCCTGTTTCGCAAACAAGAAAGAAGGTCATACAATTTTAAGTCTTAAAATCCTGCCAACACAGAAGATCCAGCTGCTGCCCACAAACCATATGTAATCACTTATTAGTTATTACCAAAATGGGCCGGAAGACAGATTTTGATGCTGAAGTTTAAGTGTTTAAAGAATTATTTTAAAAAAAAAAAAAAAAAAAAATTAAAAAGGATTGCAAAAAGGTGAAGAAAAGGAACCTTTTTTTTTTTTTTTTTTAATGGGAGAAAATTCTACATAAATAGAATTTTATCTTTCTTACACCCAAGGAAAAGTCCATGTTACATCATTTTAGTGTCATGAATTCAGGCTGCTAGTGCCAGAAGCTCTGCATATGTTACACAATCAGAAACAGAGTTGCTAGCACATTGGAGATGGATCACTGTCTTTTTCCAGATCATCCCCCCCCCCTCCAAAAAATAAAGAAAAAGGCTGCATTGCTTGACCTCACCGATTCCCCATGACTGATTAATTCTTAGCTTAGCTGGTCTAGAGGCTGGTCAAAGGAGGTTTAAGCAATTGACTTCTAAGAGAAAAAGGTTTATGGGCTCCCTCTTATGTGGATTCGACACTCTTAACAGTTATACAAGTTATTGAGGGTGAGAATTGGAGAATGTTACACATAAGGAGTCCAACAGCAATTTAGAGGTCAATGAAGCCCACAACTAATAGAAAAAGACTTGATTTAATTTGGATTGATTTGGTAAAGGCCTCTTGTATCACCTCAATATGACAATCCAGGATATGGACAATAGTTTAAACAATAAAAAGGCCAACATCAACATGATATCTTCACAGGATCCATAGATATCCATCACCAACTGTTGCAAGGGCATACTCGATCAAATATCAACAGTACATTGAAAATGGACACTGATCACGTGCTTAGTTATACAATCCCAAGTAATAACATAAATTGATGATTTTCAGATCACTGCTCACCTCAATTGATTGGTTTTTATTAAAAGCATCTCATCATAAAACTTTGCATTGGTTTGTCTAGGTTTTTTTTTTTATTTTTTTTATTTTTTTTTTTTTTATTATTATTTTTTTTTTTTTAATGTTATGTAACTGGGACTCCTCTAATCCTCATTGCAAAACTTTTGAATTTTTGGACCCAGTCTTGATACTTTTTCATCAGACACCAGCAAAACCATTTAACAACTGAAGCTTGGACGTCAAACTCAACCTACATCTATTCCTTTTTCATCAACAAATCAAAGTATTGACCCTAATAGATTTTGATGATGCTCAGGAGATAGACACACACCAAACTAATTTGTGGCAACATACAAGAAACAATATAGCTGAACACGCAGCTGAGACCTGGAAGGCTGGAACTGAAATTAAGAGACCTACTTTGGATGTTTCTGCAGATTGGCTTTCAGATTTTGAATGATTAAATGTTCATATGTACTTAATTGATTATAAAATTCGTGTAAGGTGGTTAGTATATTAGTTCAACAAAACTCATAGTGTATGGAATGGTTAATGTTAGTAATTAATTTGATTTTGGGTCTTATGCTGCATTGCATTAGTATAATAGGGTTTAATTTGTCTTGATATCCTTAAATATTGCATCATGTGTGCATCTCACAATGTCGTCACAATGATACATTTCCTCAATTGATTATTGAGGCACAAAGAAGGATATTAAAATGTCATATTAAGATTAAGAGCTTT